GAAGTAGAGGATTTTAGTGTCACAATGAGTACAGCATTTCCCTGGCCTCATGGGAAATATTTAACAGTTTGGGGGGTGTGAGGTTTCCCCCACTCACTTTCATCTGAGATCTGAAAATCTGGGGGTTTTGTGCAAAAAATATCATCAAGAGAGGCAAAAATTGTTAAAAAAATATTTGTACAATTGCACTACTTAGGTATCTCTAATACAAACATGAAGTCAGTTATAAATTCATATTATCTTGTGGGCTTATCCCAAAATGATAGGTCAAGCTTTTGTTCCAGATGGTGCAATAGTGTTTGTGACATCCACTTTGAACTGCAGTCTAGTTATGTGTCAAGCAGGAGAGTCCATTATTCACAGCATCACTGCTGGAGAAAGAAGGTTAAAAGTTCAAGACATGCCCCAAGTGATTAAGGTTGCAAAAATCAGGAGATATACCATGGGGAAAAAAATGCCATTCTTCCTTTTCTTCCATACTCAGTTTGGTCCCAAAAAATGTGTTGAAGAAAAAAAAAATAGAGGACATAGAAAAGCCTCAGTTCTAAACAGTAATGTGAAAATTACCTTTTTATTTGAACTCCTTAAAATCCTCTGCTCTCGGCTTTGCTTTTCCTAGAAAGAAACAGAACAGATTCTCTTAAAACCTGTCAGCAAGTTACGGGACTTGAGAATTCAGTTAATGCTATTGCTCATTCATCACAATATTCGCACTTCAACTATTACAAGCTCCTACGTAAATGTGATTTAAAACTTTTATTTTCATGGATCCCACAGATAACCTGCACCAGTTCAGCTTCTCAGCCGTATAAGCCTTCAATCTGCAGTCAGGAACAGATTGCCTCCAATCCCAAAACTTTCTGTACTTGGAACTACAAGTAATGCTTTTACTATGGTTGAGAAAATGTAGGGGATTTTCAATCCAATATAAAAATATGAGATCCTTAAAAGAAAGGGGGAAAGCCAAAGGGTAAAGCTAAAATATAATTCAGATTAAAAATAATTTTGGCAACGCTCTTTGAAAGCGGAAAGATTTATACAAATAAAAATACACAAATTAAAAAAAATAAAAATAAAAAAAATTAAAAAGCAGTACATCCAAGGAAATAATTCTGACCATAAATAAATATTTTTTAAAAAAATGAAAGAATAAATTCCACTGATTTATGTAAAAGTTTTTTTTTTTTTCCCTAGACCTAGAAAACTTAAGTAGATGCTCCTACTTTTTAGCTCTCTGCTCACCTTTTTCATCACAGCTTTGTCTAAGTACCAAATGCAGCATGGCCAGTTTGCCATGCGATCTATGAAATTGTATCGATAACTGATACAAAATAACTGATGCATGAACAGAGACTCCTCATGTCATAAAAAATGTTTGTATATGAGTTTTACAAAGCCCAGTAACACCTTAACTCTGTAAATATTCACAAGAGTACTAACTACTTTCAGAGTATCCTATTGAAAATACAGACAAAAATCTCTATAATCCATCGTGTCAACACCCTGGAAATACATAGGCTTCCATAATGTCTCAAAATTCATACTGGGTACTTCAAAATGCATGCACAAAGAAATCCCATAGTGAACTCCTGATGCCATGGAATGAAACTATCAAAGCACTCATCAAGAAGTGGTGCATTACAAAGAAAATAACCTACACAGTAAAAAACAGTTACATCACAGAAACGTGAAGACAATCTTCTGTAAACTGAAAAATCAGCTGAAAGACTTGAGCAGAAGTACCACACGTTCCAAATTACCTTCAGAGCTGGAATGATAAATGAAAGCCAATCAGCTCTCACATTGCAGGCCTGTGGCCTCCTCTGCAGAAGGCCTGGCTCACCCTTGCACAGCATGAGCCACACAGAGCCACAGGAAGAATCCTCCAACTTCAGAAATAAATTAGTACCAAAACCCACTCAACTTGAAGTAACCACTGGAGCGGAGAACAATTACTCAAGGCAAATGAACACTTACATGAGTATTCTGGGAATTAAAATAACAACACCAGAGGAAAAAAAAAAAAGAAAAAACAAAACACAAGCTAAATTGTTAACATGTATTTCCTCATATCCATCAGATACACTGCAGAAGTTCTTGGGTAACTTTCATCTAGACAGAAAGTCCAACCTAAATGTTATGCGTAGCTGCATCCTATGACCCAAGGCTTGTCTTGATCCTTTATACAACCCTGTTACTTGTTTGCCTTATATAGAATATCTAGGGAAAAAAAAAGAAAAAAAAAAAAAAAAGCCACTGGAATTATTTTTACACGTAAAGAGAAGAACCTTAAAAAAGCCTCTTTTTAAGAAACGAGGATGCCTTAAAACCAGTAATATATTCCTGTAAGAGTGTTTGTATTGCCAAGATAGAACAGCAAACCTGATTTCATTGGAATCACCATGCAGTTTTTATGCGCTCAGACTTGACTTCAAAGAACCCTGCCAGCAGAATAAGCACACATTACTCCTCTGTGAAATCCTAAAGAAACATAGATGACAGGGAGACCACAATCTTAATTGATTTAAGGGGCACATTTATGCCTTTATAGCAACATTTCAGAATGGAAAAAAATCACATCCTTTATGCAACACATAGGCATGTGACACCGTACTTGGGTTTAGCACACCCAGCAGTATGCTGATAATCACTGCTACAAGACTCAAGCCAGACATAAAAAAAAAAAAGCTTGGGAGAAACAAAGTAACGCACAGAATATGGTATCATAAACGAGGAGCAGCTGATCATAGGGTATTTCCTGACAAGGGAGCTACAGCAAAATCAAAAGCAGAGAAAAATTTGCATACGGCTTCTCTGTAAAGGAGTATAAAATTGATTTTTCTGTCTAACCAAAGTTCAATATAACTATAAGCATTTTGAGTAGAAAAATCAGTTAAGAAGACATCACAGTACAGTGTTACCAGACACCCCTAGGAAAGCGGTAATGGCAGCCTTTGTGGTTGGGTACTGTTTAAAAGCACATACAATGTAACTGAATCACCTTTGTAATTCAAGACTGAAAAAGAACTACAGCAGGATATCATTTGTACCTGCTCATTTGGCAAGGACAGACTCACACCAACCACATGCTTTTCCCTCACGTGTGTGAGTTCCTTAGAGCTTGCTACTTGCACTTTGATTAGTGAGTTTTTAATTACACTTTAGCCTGTTAGCACTATGGGGCCAATAAAACTAAGAGAAATAGAACTAAATTCTTTTCATTCAACACGACTGTTAACTAAACACCAATTAATTACACCCACACAAGCCTAATGAAGATAATGGGGTTGCAGAGAGTTCACCGATGGTATGAAGTGGCTTGCAGCACCCTAACTAATCAGTTAAATACTTCATAATAGGTCGGATCATAGGATAAGCCATCCTCCTTCTACATGCTTACAGCTCCTATTACTGTTAATGGAAATTACACGACTACGCCAATAATTCATGCAACGTTCACTTGATCATGAGGCAAAAGTGATAAATACTTGCAATCCTTGGTGCTATTTCAAATGATGAACTTAGACAGGATGCAAGGCTATTGCAGAAAGTGACCACCAACTTGCTTCGATTCACTGTTCTCCTAAAACTAGCAAGGGAAATTGACAGGTTTCTCTTCCCAGACTGTTGATCAATACCCACACAGCCACAAGCAATGCTGTTCCTCCGCATTTTACTCTGAACACTTTAAAAAGCAGAAGGTGGGAAACAGAGTTCAAGGCAACCAAAATCCAGCAGCAGGCAGCACCCCCAAACCAGTAACTTGATTACCCAGTAATCAAGTACCGGTGCCCCCAAGCACCACACAAGCACCGTTACCTCAAAAACCGCATTCCCACAGGAACATTTAACATTAAATGGGAATGCTGTGGGCCAAATCATGTGCCACACAGGTCTGAACCTACTCTTCACATCACACCCAGCTGAGTGACCCCCCAGGGGTGATTTAGGTTAGATATGAGGTAGTTTTTCACACAGAGGATGGTGAAGCACTGGAACAGGTTGCCCAAGGAGGTTGTGGATGCCCCATCCCTGGAGGCATTCAAGGTCAGGCTGGATGTGGCTCTGGGCAGCCTGGTCTGGTGGTTGGCGACTCTGCACATAGCAGGGGGTTGAAACCAGATGAGCATTGTGGTCCTTTTCAACCCAGGCCATTCTATGATATAAAGGAGCAGCAGACACCACGCTGAGCTGCTCTGAGCCAGAAAAGCAGCACCACATATTCACTTCTCACTCTCTTTGGGACATGGCTAGTGCCAGCTCTGAAACCTCCCCCGAGGAAAAGCTGAAAGAAGAAGAAAAAAAAGGAAAAGGAAAAAAAAAGAAAAGAAGAAGAGGGTTTAACTCTCTGGAGAAGCACCATGTTATTTCTGAAGGATGTGAAAGGGAAAGAAAATGATTCAGTGGGGATTTTTCTTCATTATCACCCAGCCCACAGAAGCAAACGTACAATGAGCAGAGGTCCACACGTATTGATTTTAGAGCCGAGGAAGCTGCGGCTAACAGCTTTTTAAGTATCTCCATTTTCAGTTACTTCAACAAAATTACCAATGGGCAGCGTAACAAAGTGAAAGTTTTCGCAGGAAATCGCAGACTAAAAATGATCATTTAGGTTGTGAAACGTTTCTTTTCATCGAAAGTAAAGGGCTTTTAAAGGCAGCTGCGTTTTGCAGCGCTACCCTCACCAGACGTTTCACAGACCGCAATCTGTCTCTCTTTCAGGACGATAATCTTACACAGCTTTGTTGTTCGGAGACTTTTAGAACTAAACAATACCTGCTCATAACCAGTCGGAGAAGGAGGAGCAGGCAGGCAGCCCACGGTTTTAGGCAAAGGAACAACACAACGCCCCGAGGGCAAATGCAGGACGCACAAAGCTCCGCATCACGGCCAGCCCGCCGCCCGCCTCAGGAGCCCGGCTCGCCGCCGCCCCTCAGGGCTTTCCCGCCTCGGGGTAACGGCCGCGAGGGCGGCCCCGCCAGTCTCGCGAGAGCAGCGGCCCCGCGATGGAGGCTGATAGAGACGAGCGGCTGCGGCGGGAGGCGGCGGAGTACTACCGAGGCCACCGAGTGCCGCAGCGAATGGAGGAAGCGCTCAACACCCTCTTCCCGCTGCGCCCCGCGGACCTCTACGGGGATTTGGTACCGCGGAGCGGGGCGCGCCGCGCAGGCGCTCCCCGTGAGGGGCGGTGGGGCGGAGCTGAGCGCCGCTGCCTGCGGAGGGCGGGGCGGAGCGGAGGGCTGGGCGGTGTGTGTGGAAACGTGACAGTGTTTGCCTTCTGCGAGTGCGCGGCTGTTGCCCGTGGGAAGTGGAGCTGGCGCTGTTGCGGCTTTACTGGATGTTCGGCCCCTGTTGCTTCCTGGTTCCTCGTGAGCCATAAGCTCTGTCGAAAGGATGAAACTGCCAAGAAAGTCTGTAACAAGCCTCACGTGACAACGTGATCTTTTATTTAAAGCGACGCTGGTGTTCATGAAATACAAATGAGCCCCAGCTATACTCGCACAGCCCGTGATGTCAGTGCCAAGCCCACTGCAGACCTTGCTGGATAAATAATTCAGAGCGCTCTGCTCGCAGCTCCGTCTGAAACCCCAGGTTTACCACGCGCTGACCTCAGAGCTGCGTCACTTCTGCGGTAACGCAGCACCTCGCACAGCTCTGCCTGCGTTTCTGAGGGTTGTTCTTTTCTGGAATCTCCTCTCTCCTGACACATTCCACACTAAGAGATGCACTTTTTTTCAAGATCTTACCCGCAGATAAAATAATTACGGTATATCGACTTGCTGCACGGCGAGAACTTTCCCGTGTGAAGCAGATCTCACAAGTAGCAGGCAAATAACTGGTTTTGTTATAGTGTAAATCCAGTTAAACCTTGGATAAACACCTGTTTTCTAGGAGGCTATGGATGTATTTAATGATACCCATCACTGACTTTGCAAAATTAAAACACATTATCTAACCTGGATGTGGTTTTGGACTTCCCAGGCTGAGATTTGAGTTGGATCTGTTCCCTGGAATGATTCATAAGCAGATACTGCAGACATAAGCAGGAGTACTTTTGATATTGGGGTGAATAAATGGATTTGCTCAATGGTGGATATAATTTGCTACACGAAATAAAAGCCTGTTTGCGTAGAAACTTCCTTCTAATGAGTTCTTTCTCTTTCATTTAAGGCTAACTACTTCTCTAAATTTTCAAAAGCTCCAGTCGTATGCAAACTAGCTGGAAGAAAAGTTCTTGATGGAGTTGGTCAACCAACATTAGAAGTGGAAATATATTGCACAGTGAAAAACCGTGAGAAGGTGTGAGCTGCTCCTTCCTGATTTATTTAATAAGACACTGTCAGAGAAATGTACTATTCTACTCATATCCTAGTGAGCATTTTATTTTGCAGCTTTAGTGAATGGATTGAATCCCCATAACTCACCAGTTCAGTAAATAGTGACATTAAAAAAAAAACACAGTTGTACAGTATCCACAAAGAGTTGGTGAAGGAACTTCTTTTCTTTGAGCCAATATGCTGATGTGGGTGATAGTTCAAACACCTGCTGTTAAACTTTGGCTCTTTTCATTCTTGATCCCTAAAGAGGAGACAACATAAAGAAATTTAGTATAGTTTCAAAGATGTTCACAGTATGCAAAGTTAATACCATTAATGAAGGCAGCTCTGTGATATTTGTAAATGATGTCTTTATTAAGTGAGTTTTGTTCATCCTTCTGTGGTACAGAAAGATAGGCTTAAATAAGACAACATATATATGGTCCTGAGCCATGGCATTAAATATAAATGCCAATGAATTGTGATACAACAGGCTAACAGCAACTGCAGTAAAAGATGCCGTGACCAGAGTGTGATCTTTAGAATTTGTTCTGATAACAAAATGCATATGTAAAGCAGATCTCTCAAAAGTTTTTTTCTTAAGTAGTCGTAATTTAGATTGAGAAACTTGAATAAGGTCTGTGATTACCGAGGTGTAAGAGATCAGGAAGGAGGTGCTGGATCAAAAAAAGATCAGCAAAGTGGAACAGACAGATTTGCAGATGGGTACTTGTAGCATTGATAAGGACATCTACCTCTTAATCTTTAAGAAGACATTTCCAAGTGAGAATTAGTGTTTTCAGTTTTTCTGTATTATTTTGCAGAGGATTTGTTCTGCTATAATTTCTTCTCATTATCAAATACCTGAGAATGCTTTATCTGAAACAACCGAAGCTGATGAGAAAGAGAGAAATGACTCTGTTACCACTGCTGTGGAATGGGTGAATGAATCTCTAAGCACAATGATAAGAGACTGGAAGCCTACTGACCAATGTGAAATTGATAAGATGCTTGGGTAAGCCTTGCATAGAATTTCTAGTTTTTTAAGCTGCTGCAGAACAAATCATTCATTTGAAATACTATTAATTCATACTTTAAGTGAAAAGCATATACAATAGTTAATGATTTTTAAAATATTTTTGCATATTATGTACATTATATTATATGCTTGGCATGAGAAGGCCATTCAGATATATTGCAGTGTATGATTTCCTGCTGATTCATAACTTCGATATAAAAATTATGCCATTTCTAATAAGAACTTATGCAAATTAGATTTAGACTACTAAGGTGAATCTAGATATGATTTCACTGCTTTGTTTACATTACTGTATGTAGCTTAGATACTCAGTCTGTCTGAATTGGGTGGCTGTGACCACGTGTGTGTGCAGTTTCCATTTCATGCAGGCAGTTGAACTCAGCCACTCCGGGATTGCAAGCAGCTGCCTGACGTGCACAGCTGACCTACTGAATTAGCAACTTAGAACAAGTTGCTACATGTCATAAAGTCATGAAGGGTTTACCACTGTACTTGGTATGGGTCATACCAAGTGAATGGGAATCTTGTACACTAAGATTATCTTCAAGATCGTGTATACAAAGAGCTCACTTTGAAACCAGTGCAGCCTGAAAATCACGTGCTGAGGACTGTAACTCTTGCTTGTGGTTCTTTTTGTTTATTCAGTGTTGCAGATAACTGTCAAAAACAGGCATTTACTGACTTGTCCAGCTTCACACAATCAGGGCAGAATCTCAAACAGACGCTCTTAATCCATCTCCAGCATGTTCTTCAGCGAATATAGCGTGCCTCCTTTGACATGCATGACAGTGTTTTGAGCCACCAATCTTTGTTCCTTTTCTCAGTGAATACTTTTCAAAAAAGGAAGAAGAAAAAAAAGAAATTGAAGAGGAAGAAGAAGATGATGATGACACTCTTTCCGTAACTTCTTGTGCTCCATCAGCAGTGGCACAATCTGGGCAAAAAAAGGAAGCAAAAACAGGTTTTTGTTGATTTCCTTGTAATATTTCCTGCTATACCAAAATTGACAAAGATGCTAAAACACTTCCTGCAGTAATCTCAGAGGTGCTAAAGACTAATGTCACGTGTTCAGAGAGTTAGGTTAGTCTGTCCCAAATCTTCTTCTTTCTGCCCTTCTTCCTTCTGATCACAGCAGTTTCTACTTCAGAAATAGAGAGGAAAATACACAGTTTTGTCATCATTCGCTTGCATTTATTGAACAGAGTTTCTGCCTTTGTTTTATGGTTGGCTTAGACAGGAGGTTATTACTCTTCAGAATAAGGAATAAGAATGGAGGAGGATGCAAATGAAGAATAAAAATGAAAATGATAAGGAAAGAAAAGAATCATAGAACTGAAAAGGAAAATGGAAATAGTTTGAATATAGAAGTTGAAAAGAATTAACAGGGGAAGGAGGAAGGGAAAATTGTGGCTAACACTGACAAAAGGAGGAAATAAAGATGAGAAGTGAAAGAGAAAAGAGGAAGGGGATGAGATGGGAAAGACAGGCAGGACAGGGTGAAAAAGAAGGAAGGAGATAATGGAACTGAATAAAAAATGGTGCAAGAGTAGAGAAACAGAACTACTGTATAGGGGGAAAAAAGAAAAAGAAAAAAGGCTCAATATGTTACCTCCATACGTACATTATCCTCAGAAAAAAAGAAAAAAGAAAAAAAAAGATCTCCTGTTTTCATTTACTGGAAGTCCATTTTGGCAAATTATCAGTTGCTTATCAGTTTAGTTTGAACTGTCATAAACTACTTGTAAAACCTCCCAGCTCATGTGTTCAACACTTGCACAATAAGTCCGCCTTTAACCTGAAATGGAACATCTGCAGCTGTCTGTTTACCAGAGTGTCTCAGTACTGGGTTACTGATGTTCTGTGTGTGTAGCTCTTTATCCTCAATGTAAGAGGTGTAAAAGTTGCATGCAAATGATGTTTAATCTAATCAGCATATCCACATAAGGTCGTGCTGGGCTTCTTTTGTTGCCTACCATAGCTGTATGCTGCAGTATTTAAATATTTTATTAAAAACTTCCACAGAGAAGGAAAATGTGTATATCGTTCTTATTAGGACCAAAGCAGTTGCTTTGGTTGATTCACAAAAACATACCCACTGCATATGATTTCAGTTTCACATAGGTGCTTGCTGTACATCTTAGCAGGGAAGGTAATAATAGTGGGAACTGCTGGGCTTCAGGCATTTTGACAAAAGTTATTCTACTGTGTCTGAAAGGGAAATAAGTTCCTTTGAAAATTTAACAAGATTTTAACAAGTCTGTGTGTGTGGAATATTTAAAAGACATGTTCTTTTGTTGGAAAATCCAACTCTAATAGGCCTGCAATTTTTTTCATGCTCATTATTAGAAGGAATCAAGTACGTGCACTCCCAATCAGCTTAGAATGTAATATTCCAAGTCGTTTATGCAAAAGCTGAGCACATAAGGAGAGCAATAAATACCAACACCAAAAGCCTAAAAAATGATTTGACACTACGCCATGTAAACATACATAGATTTCAATGGCTGAGAGCTCTGGATTTGAAACACATTTGAAATCAGAGTGAGGACAGGTACTTTACTTGTTTGTAAGGTCATTTCATATACAGCAAGTGACAACATTAAATTAAAAAGCTGTCGTTTTTTGGTTGGTTGGTTGGTTTTGTTTTTGTAATATTGAGTGCACTGCTGAAATGTGAATACTGTATTTGCTTGCATAACCCTGGTACATAAGCACATGTTTTAAGGCAGTAAAATATTTAGCTACTATTCTCTGTCTTTAAGGGAAGAAGTCAAGTATACAGATAACAATCCCACCTGCAGAACCCAGTGAATCAGTGCTGTGTGGCAGCTTAGCCATTGGGGGAACATCGCTCGCTGTAGCTAAGGCTGGTGCCTCCATTAATGGCATCCCATTGTACTTACACACTGCACTGCTGAAACGCAGTCAGGTACGTGTGACTTCTGTCCTTCTGTTTATTCTCATTGCTACAGTTGTGAAGTTGGGGATCTCTCATGAAACTGGCAGTGATAGTCCTCATAAAATACTTTCTTAAGTAGCGGGCTTTGAACTGGCCCTGTGCCATACTTAAAACGTACAGTTAATGATTCTCTTTCTAACACTTCTTTCACTTGCCGCTCTGAATTACAGGATTCACCTAAAGAAATGACTTTGCCACTTCCAATGGTTACTCTGTTGAGCTGTGAAAAATTTTCATCTTCAAAACTCAAATTAGTGAAAGAAGTTATGCTCATACCACCAGTTCAGTTATCGCTCAAACAGGTATTGTTTTGTTGGGCTTTTTACTAATATATTCTATTTTTTTAATTAATATATCCATTACATTTCATATATGTGTGAGCGAATACATAGATCTTGTCAGTAGAAACCTTAGGAAGCACATCTTTCACTTTCTGTTTACTTGTAAGGCCCACGTTTGAACATTTTTAAAATTGTGTGTGTGTTAGGATACCAGAAAAAAAATCAGTGCATTGAAGGAGATACAGAAATCTGTTACAAAACACTTGAGTCTTTTCAAAAACGTGACTTTACATTCCTAGGTTAGAAATAGTACTGGTTATTTGTGGCACATACAAAACAAAAACACCAACAAATTCATAGCAGAGCATACAATCTTTGAGAATAAATTGCTTTAAAAATGAAGTTGTGAAGATGGAAGGGAATACAAAGCAGAATAAAATCTGTTCAAGGGGCAGGAAGGATGGATGAGACAGACTGGGTCAGCACCCTCTTTTTGTTTAGCCATATGATGCATTAAAGAATGTATCTGCACAAGATGCCTACATTAGGGCTGTGATTTCTATTTTGTATGCTGGTGACCTGAACAAATAGCTGAGTTCGATTCTTTCTTCTTCCTTCAACTTTTCAGCACTGTCACACAGAGCTCACAAATAAGGTTATCAATTCTGTACTTCCCAAAGACTGAATTCCTCCCAGTGCTCAAGGGAGAGCAGCAAGCTGTTTGCTGCAGCGCAGTAAGCACAGCAGTTCCTCCTGTGCGGATACGTTGTCAGCTGTGACTGACTTCTGCCCCCTTCAGTTTTTCAGCTTTCTTTCACAAGCACAGATAAAGGAAACTTGAATGTGATTTACAAAGTTGGCATTAAACTCTTCCTAACTCAGCTGAAAACAGCCTTGTGTTAAAAGCAGAGGATTTTACTGGAGTGTTCCTCCATTCCCTAGTTTCAGAAACAAGGACAGCATTTCTTTCCTTGCTGTCTGGAGACGTCAGTTTGGTCAGTTTTCAGTTAAGTAGTTTTGGAGAAATGCACAGCTGTGGACACTCCCACTCCTTGGATATTAGGCAGACCAAGATGTTGCTTACTTGTTTCGTCTGGAACAGGTTGGGTTTTTGTCTTTTATTTGTGGAAGAGACCACTTTTTTGCCATCTCATTAAATGGCATAATCAAATATTTCTGATCATTCCACTGCTACTGACTGTTCAGTTCTGGACACTCAAAGGAGGGAGACTGTGCTTAGGGTGTCTGTAATATATATTTTTTAAAGACTTTGTGTTGAGGTCTGTGTTTAGAAGTGCTCTGATTCAAGCAGTTAGAATGAAGTAATTTATCTTTCTTTTGAAGAATGATGATGTTTAATTTCAGGGCATTGAAAGAGCTCTGGACATTCAAAAAGAAATGATGAGACTGCTGGAGCCTGCAGGGAAAGCGGTACAATAACAATGTTATTAATGTGATGTACTTCATTTGGCCTTTCTATTACTATTGTCTGCTTAACCTTAAACATAGAATATTTCGCATGTTATCGTTCATGTTTAGTCTCACTGCACAGAACAGCTGTGCCTCCCTGACAGATGAATAAAACATTGGGCATTTAATGATCTAACATTAATGAAGATAGAGTAAAACATTGTTTTATGTATAGGAAGACTTTTCTATTTCAGTACATATACCAGGAAAGGTCTGCTAGGGAAGAATAAAATCATGTATTGTTCAAAGTAGTATTATTGCAGTAGTTTATCAAGCTCAGTATTTGCTCAGTATTTGCTTTTTGCAAAGTCAGGTTGTTAGGTTTCTTCTAATACAGGGTCTGGATTCTCACCTCGTAGAACCTCTGCATTGTTGATAGTCACAGTGAGAGTGTTTTGAAAAACAGGTGATGTTTGGGGTGGTGCCTACATAGAAATAAATATGTGAAATGAATTACCACCACAAAATAAGATGAGTTAATTGCTTATCGTTTCCTTGTCTTGAATATTATTTCCTAAATTAAATGTATGCAATCTCTTCAGACCAAAATTTGGTCAATGCATTTTTATTTTTTTTAATCTGAGGTCTCTCTGTCGTTTTTGGACCTTTACATGGCATTGTTTCATTGTTTCTGTCTTCCTTCAATTCCAGCAGCCCAGTCCTCACCTAGCAGACAGTAAGAAAGACAGAGCACGTAATAAAGAGAAGCAAGCTCCGGTAAGAAAGGAGATTTTAAGTCTTCAGCAAGATACTAAAAACTGAAGGGAGCCAGAATGTTCTTAAGAAATGAAACATAAATCTGCATTACCAATTTGGAAAGGTCGATGCAAGACTTTTTAATACTCCCAAATCCCTATTTCAAATAATAATTTGGATTCTTCTCACTATACCTTCCCTTCCTGTGGAACAGTAACAGAAAGGGGGAATACTTCCAGAACCTGGGCATTTTTTTCTGATATAGAAAACTTATCAAGTCATCCAGCAGAGCATTTTGTAGGCCTGTTGCACTAGCAGTGTACAAGCACCTCTGTTCTTGTAAGCCCAGAACTGCTACCTGTCAGACTTGTGTATTGTGCTGCTTCCTCAACACTGGAAGCAGAATTTCCCTCCAGTCATGCTGCATTGAATTCCCAGTTGCTGCTTGAGGTTATAGATAATGGCAGATAAGAAAAAGCAGCTAAAGGGCAACACTCACAATAGTAGCAGGGATTATTTGATGTGACTCAAACGATCTTTTGTAGTTCTGTTGTTTCTTTATTTCCACTTCAAAATCCATAGTTTATAGAGGAGTTATCAAAATAGTGGGATGGAGATGCCATGCTGGCTTTATTTCCCATGGTGAGATGATTAAAATATTACCAGATAAGAACTCCTGCTTTTGTGGAGTGTACGAAACACAGGATGAGAAAAAGTTTTCATACTTTATAAAACCTCATTCATAGAGCTGTCCTTAAAAATGCTAACATTGTTTTGGAGAACAGATTTATGCATTGATTATTGAAGGCAGGCTGTAATGACAGTGAATATGTAAGTTTTATATATTTGTAAATAAATTGATTATTTTTGTTTTGCTTCCAGCCACCAGCCTTAAAAGGAGTATCACACTTAGGCTGCCTGATAACGGGATGTGATAATCTAGAGCAACCTCTCCTCCTAATGCAGACAGCTTGCAACAATATAGGTCTGGAGCTGGGAAAAGATTTGTATTTAGCAATTAATTGTGCTGCTCATGAATTAATGGACTACGTAAGTTACTTCTGCTGCTTATTCAAATAGCTGCTTGTTAACACTTCACTATTGCAATGCAGACTCGCCCAGAATCTTTTGACTTTGTTTTCCACAAGCAAAGAAGTATCTCTGCCTTTATAAATTCTGTTTGAATCAGTGCTACAAATTCAGCAGATGTGCTATTGGATTGTAAGCAAAAGGGGCAAGCCATGCAGACATCCTTTTTGTTGCCCAGTGCAGAGCTGGCGTGTATTCCTCCTCTGCATACTGACACACCTCGTGTGGAAAAAGGCTCAGTGGAGCAAGGCAGCCTCTCCTTACACCCTGCATCCTGCCTACAAAAATCTCTGCTGTTTTCACAGTTCAACTTTTATCATATCAAACAAATGGATCATTATAAGCCGCCCTGTGTCAGTCATATTTATTCCTCTTCTCTGCTTGTTTATTTAGCAACATTTTTCAGATGAGTCTGTGTTAAAGGTAGCAAACTTTCCGTTCAGCAAACCAGCTTCCTGTCACAGAACATCTCAGGTGATTTTGAATTGCAGTAGTAGGCAGCAAATACTGTTTTGTTCTGTTCACCACGCAGAGTAAATGAAGTAATTATCTCAAATTAATCTTCTAACTATCTTGTCTTTGAGGATGAAGAGCAAGAAATTATTTATGCAAATATACTTCTGTAATCCCTTTGCACCACTTGATGCTTATTTCTCCCTTCTATTACGCTCCATCTCTTCTTGACCTTTTAGTATATTTTTACTACATTACTGCGTACCCGGTAACATTTATCTCTGTATACAGCATTCACATGCAGTGATTATATTTCAAGTTCTCTATTTGGTGCAGTTTATTCATCTCCAGCTGAAGTCTTAAAGTTGTAAGCCCTTGTTCCGAGATCAGTCAGCTTTTTCTCTGAGCAGAAAAAGAAACTGGCTGCTCTCTGTGATTTAGCACTGTGTGACATTTAGGCTGTCTGGGTACACTGTACTCACAAGATTAGCACAGGATCCTCTGTGTTGCTTTCCTGACAGTTCTCAATGAGCAGCATCTTAAAGAATTATGAGTAATTTAACTGCTGCAGTCAATAAAGCAGTGTTTTCTTTCTGGCACAATTTGATAGTGTACTCATAATCCCTTAATAATCCTTCTACTCGTGTGTTATGGTTTATGATTGCCATAAAGATGGGACTGGTTTGAAACGAGCTTTTATTTGGTGGTGCTGTTCTGTGTGTGTGTGGGGGGGGGGGTTGTTTGTTTGTTGGTTTTGGTTCTGTGTGTTGGGTTTTTTCCTTGGGGAGGGGTGGTGTTACTTTGTGTTTGTTTGACTGGATTTTTTCCCTATGTTTTTGTTTTTGATTGATAATTTTTTTTCCCTCTTTTTATTTTTTAGTTTTTTATTGGAAATGGGAAAGCACCAAGGAAAGGCTGTATTTTATTTTTGAGTACTGAAGGTGTTCTCCTTTTCTCATAGCAACATTTCCCCTATGCAAATAAGGAACTAAGAATTAACTTTCTTTTTTTTTTGGAAGTGAAAAGAGATTTTTCATGCAAGATTTAATAAAAATATCAAATATTGATAACTTTATGACAAAGTTGTGTAAAACTGACAGCGTTGCCTAGGAAATGCTGAAAGAGATCCGCCTTGTTTTGGGCATGGTGTATTTGGCACGAGCTGACTGTTACTTCAGGCAGAGATTTCCATAATAATGTTCACACAGACGTAGAATAAAGTAAGCAGAGTGAATGTGAGCTTACTGAATCCAGTGCCCCAGTGGAGACATCAGGGTCCTGTGTGCTTATATTAGGACTGTGTCTAATTGAAGAACTGCCATTCTTTTATACTTTATCCTGTACTTTCTAGGTGAAAGGAAAATATGAAATACTTACTGGAACATTCAGAAGCCCTGATGAAATGGTCGACACGTACGTGGAACTGGTTAATAAATTTCCTTCCATTATTGCCTTAGTAGATCCCTTAAGGAAAGAGGTAAGAGTTTGTGTGAAACCACTGAACTTTTCATGCTTTTACAAAACGTACCAAAAATGAAGCTTCTATTTTCAGAGAGGCACAGAAACGCCAGTATAAAAAAAAGCATGCATTAATTCATTTGCATATATTGAATTGACTATAATTCAAGATACCTCTTATGTTTGAGCTAATTCCTGATAGAAAATAGAAAAAATGACACAAACAGAATATGGGCAGCACAACTGCTACGAGAAAATGCTAATTCTTCCCGATTCTTCTTGCTCAAGCACTGTCATATTACATATTACATTTTCCTTGTTATGAAAACAAGTAATACAAACTGTACTATAAAATCAAATTACAAAATTCATGTGGTACATAAATGATATTAAGTGGAAGAAACTAAAAGTTCCTACATAGCTGTACAGCTGTACATTCCTTAGAACCATTCAGAAAACTCACATAGCTGCTCTTCCTTATGACTGAGATGTGTACCCAAAGCCAGAACAAATCTGTAGCTGGCAGCATGGCTCAGCAGAATTTGTAAAGTGCATTTTATCACTGTGATCAGTGTTAGGGGAGATAATTGAATGTGGGCAACAGATTAAAACAACCAAGTAGAACACAAATGTTTTAGCAAGCTACAGATAGGTGAAAGAGATGGCATAACCTCAGAGATTAGCATTTGTACATATAATTCAGTGTCCACGTATTACCAAAAGATATAAATTTAATTGTAGTAAAGATTCTAAAGTTGCACAGCTTAACAAAAACTTCTCTTCCTTTGGAAGTTTGACTTCACTTTAAAATAAAGATGTCTTTTCATGAAAAGAAAAAAAACGTTGAGCATGAATGAAGGGGGCACTAAAGTACTTTTGTGAATCTGCCAAGTGCCTGAATTGATAATTCTGTAATAGATGAACTGCAAAATTGAGTTCTTAGCTGAAATTCTAACAGCTTGTTTTTCAGATACTGGTTTATATTGTTACCTCACTCCCCTGCCCTGTTTCAAACTGATCCCCATATTCCAAAACCCTCGGCTATTCCCTGCTCCTGCTGGGGCTGCAGACCTTGCAAATTCTTCTGAGGAAAACAGGAAAATGTGAGGAAGGATTGCTACAGACAGACAGGGCTGTGAAGGAAAATGCCTGTCCTCCTCCCCCCGCAGCACATCCATGAAGCTAACCCAGGCCACGGCTTTGCCACACATAATGAGGTCCTTGAGGATTACTGTGGTACCAATTCAGCAATCCACTGCCAGGTAGAAGAACACCCCAGTGGTTAAGTTTAAACATTTGGCCACGTGTCAAACCTCCATTTTCAGTTACCTGTGGGCTTGACAGCTTTACAGGAACAGAGTCCTGTGCCTATTGCATACTTGCAGCTACACATTTCAGTGTGATCCACAGACCAAGAATTATTGGTTTCAGAATTATTAACTTGAAATTATACATGATTTTAATGTGAGAACTTTGCATTCTGTGGACACAAAGAAAACAAACTTTTTTTTTTTTTTTTTTTCCAAATTATTTATATACTCCTCTCCTCTGTTTATCTTTAAATCTCAGTACCAGGTGGACAGTGCATTCAAATTAAGAGAAAGCCTAAAAAATTGGAGCTTTGCTGGAAAGACAGCGTTGTATTCCACAGTTCCTTATGGGTCAGTCTTGTGGCTCTGATCATCCTCTCCTGATATACTTCACTGAATCTATGGCTGTCTCATCCCTTTATATTCAAACAGATATAATGACACTTAAAATATGAACACAAGAATGAGTGCTCTAAATAAAACAATAGAAAATTGTTTTGTCATCCATTTAAATTAAATGCACCGCAGGAAAGGAAATTAAAATAGCAAAGCCCTACAGTTAGTTTAATTTGTAGTATTTCAAACTGTCCTGCTGTGCAACTATCTTTGATTAATTCCAGGTACCAATTTTTGTTTTCTAGCAAAATCTTAAAAGCCAAGCAAAATTATTATATTTTCATCGAGAGAGATTCAAAATATAAAATGTATCTTTATATAGAGAGTAGGATGAAATCCAAACAAAACTTTTCCAGTTTTAAATTGTGCCTCCTGAGTTAGAGTTTTCATTCAGTTTGGTGTTCTAAACTTCAGGTATTTGCTTGCTTGTTTATGCAGGACAGACAGCAATGGAATAACTTGTGTCGTGCTCTTGGTTCCAAATGTTACCTGATTGCTGAAGATGCTGCCACAAATACTTCCAAGCTTAAAACAGACCAGAACATAAACATACCGATGTGCAGTGGTGTTGTCCTAAAATATGTTAATCAAACCAAGGTATCAGACCTCGTCGAACTGACTGCACGTCTTGATGGTGAGTAGAGAGGGAAAAAGGCTTGCCTGCAAGCCCTGCAAGTCAATAAATCATGTTGCAACACCTATAAATATTACATCTTTTGATTTAATCAGCACCATTTCTATTTTAGTTTGCGTTTGTCAGAAGAAACTGAGGCATGTTCTGTTCACAAATCTCTCGTTCAGGAGCCTGGAACGGGGCGCGGGCTGAGCGAGTGCGCTGTGTGTGCTTGGAATGCGGATGTCCCTGGGCACTGCAGATAAGAGTCCTGCAGTTCATTGTCAGAATTAAAATGAAACAAATGATACAGCTGAGGAATTTGAATTTTGCTTCATGTTAATAATCAAGAAATGCAAACTAGTCCAAAACGTTTAAAAGGGTGCTTTGCACATTGCTGAGCCTTTATGCTACGAGTACCAGAAACTTGTGCTTTTTCTTACATAACATTTCTTCGCACCATTTTTTTCTTCTGTTCATCTTTATCCCCAAGAAATAGATGGACAAATTTTATATAATTTCCTTTTCCTCATTCCCTCAAAAATTCCAGAATCGCTACATCCAAGTGAGTAAATAGCAACTTAAACATTTCATTCAGTCACGAGGGTAAACTCCTTTTCATAGTGAAGAAAAATCATTACTGTAGGAAAAAGCATGTTTAAAGAAATAGAACAGCCTCCTGGTGTGTACCATACATTACTGGACACAGCAGCTAGAGGTAGGTAGGATGGGATGTTAGATACTCCCTTATTCGTGCTGAAAATAAAAGAAAATGTACCATTAATGCCATAATTGTGGCAGACCAGAATCGTTTACATTTTCATGAAATGAGTTTCATTTCATCTTAGCCCAGTGGAAAAAAAAAAAAAAAAAAGAATGCAAAATGTAAACAATTTCTGTCAAATTTATAAAATATATACTAATGAAGGTTGTACACTGCTGTTACATGTAGGTCAAAGACGTGTTACCATATTAGGAAGTCCAGATGGAGAATCTTCTGATGATAGCCTTGTGGATCTGGTAAGTACTGAAAGCTATTCAGTTGCAGAATTGCCAAAACACTGCTTTTAACATGAATTATTTTTTAGGAGAAAGCCTGTTCCTGTGTGAGAAAGAAACATTTTACAAAACGGTCTTTTTCTAGGGTTGTTTTTTTCCCCCACAGAAAGTTAATCGTTGAGTGTAAAGAGAAGATGCAGGAAATTTGCCAAAGCAGGGAGTAAATTCATGAGGGCATATGATCTATTTGGTTGCATTCGTTTATAAGAAAGTGAGTTACTTAAAACATTTCTGAATGGTAATAATATTATCTATAAAGTTGTTCAACAGCGATATATTTAGGCTTCTTGTGTTAAAGCTACCTTTGCAAATAAAATTCCTCTTTGTATGCCAGTGAAAATTATTGTTTGCATCCAGCAAATCTCTCATCGAGAGATGTTATTTCTACTTAAAGGAGGTTTATTATCTGTAAAAAGATAAGAAAATTGTTAAGTTGGGAGCAGGGTGCCGTGTATAATTACTACGAATGGCTTCACTCCCCGAAGCAAATAGGTTTAAAATACGCACTTTCTCGTTTCAAGGCTGTTGGACTGGGTGCCAGGTTTGTCAAGCTGGGAGGTCTTTCCCGCGGAGAAAGGGTGACCAAATACAACCGCCTTCTTGCTATAGAGGAAGAACTGGCCAAGAATAGAACGCTACGTATGAGCTTCTTTCTTACTTTGTTTTCAGCTTGCAATGAATACGGGAACAAAGATTGGAGGGAGAATGATTGAAACCGCACCGCAGGAGGGAAGCGAAATCAAAAGACTATAAATAAGCGCTGACAAAAAAAATCCTAGGATAGCACTTGCCACAATGTACATTGTTGTCCTAATGGATTATCTGTTTACTGAATGTTAAAATAGACCCCTTCTTGAGGAGTAGCCTACATTAAGCCTTTTTCCAGAATTAATTGGTAGGAGTCTTGAAGCCCACAGTGCAAAAGGAACAAAGCAAAAACCAAGCATATAACACTCCAAAAAGCTGCCAGAGTGGAATTTTAGGCCAAATACCCCACATTTCCCCTAAGACCCTAAATAGATATTGCTAGCAAAACTTCATTTCACCATCCTTTTGTGTGTTATATGTACAGCAACATGTGTTTGGAAGGCTACGATTGCATGGGTAAGTACTAAATAAATCCAAGAAGAATCCAAGTTGAGGATGCACATTCAGCCTTAGCCACTTGTATGCATCTGCCTGCATTTCTTAATCTACACCTTCTGTTTACACCATTTTATACAGTTAAATAGTTAACTGTTCATTAGAGCCATTTCTTACCTGCTCAGGTATTAATCAAGACAGGATAAAGGCATACAGTCATGGGGGTGGGAGGGCAGAGAAAAGGGGTGGCAGAAAGGAAGGAGAGAGTTTATACAAATTCATTATAGCTAAGTGAAGGAAAATGAAAGAGAACTAAGTCATCTGATCTTGTTTCTATTGTTATTGTTTTCTTTATGTTCTATACGTGGAATAGCAATGTTTGACAGGTTTGACAAGTAATTTTTAAAGAAATTACTGAAAATATTTCAAGTTTGGGACATCTTTCTCTTGCTCACATATAGTCATCATAAAAGAAAAAAAAACAAACATACACAGATTTGTTTTGATGAGTTCCACAGAAGGTGTTTTCAAAACCAAGTCATAATAATTACAAAGAACGATGACCTTTCACTGCTTTAGCAATATTAATATATTCCCTATTCAAATGGATATAGTCTAAACAAAAGAGCTTGAGTTTGACATGTTTAAAACTGTATCTCATGAAATGAAATAGCAACAATTCCTGAAGCTGTTAATCATTTGGCAGAAATGAAATCCAGTAATTAAATCAACAGCAGGGAAATACTGAAATAGCATGTCTGAGCTGCATACCAAACTCTTCATTTGGCTGGGCTGCAAGCTACAAAATGCACTGGAGGGCTGAGCACGGAGGTCTCTGTAAATGGTTCATGGATGGAAGGTGACATTGACCCATCAGGAGTCCCCCCAGGACTGACTGCACTGGGCGCACAGCTGGGCCCAGCAGCACTGCAGCTACAGGGAGCCAGGCTCTGCCTGCTGCCTTCCCCTGTCGCTGTCAGGCTCTGGGATTGCACAGAACTCTCCATCTGCTGCAGCCCCAATGCTGATGCTGCATTTCAGCCCCCAGGTACACCTGATAGGCAGATGAGAGCTGCTCAGAAGATGAAATCAGGGATTGGCCAGCTCTTTGCTAGGAACTCAGAGATGTGACCTAGTCAGTGAACGGGCAGGCTTTGTATGCATGGCCAAAAAAAAGAATAATCTGTAGTGAGTGTGATGTGATTGAGGAAAAATAGCAGTAAGGAGAGAGGTTAAGTGTCAGAAGCAACGTCTGAACCCAGGCTCATCTGAAGTTGTCAGAGACTGGGGTTGAGGAGGAAGGAGGCACAGGCAGACAGTGGGAACTTTTGCAAGAACATCAGTGCAGAGGAAGATGGATGCTCAAAGAAAGGGCAGCAAGAGCGAGGGTAGTAAGCAACAGGGAGGTAGTATTTGAAGAAGGAAAAGCAATAAATATCCCAGCTCAGGCTGCTGTGAATCATTGAAGGGTTTGAGGTGAGAGGGACCCGACAGCTCATCCACTTCCGGCCCTGCTGTGGGCCCAGACACTCCATCTTCCTGCTCCACGTCCTGACCCTGTAACCGAAGTGCAGGAGCTCTGCTCCTTTGGTTCTTAAGACCAAACCCTTAGTGATGTCTAAAGACTGATGTAAGCACTATCGGGAAGTTTGAAAAGAAAATTTAAGTGCATCAGAGAACGTTTCAAGGAACCAGATTTCAGCAAAGATAAGAACAGGCTTCTTCATTCTCTTCTACTGCAGGGTATGATGCAAATTTTGAATTTACTGATTTTGATGAAGAATCACAGCCAGAAAAACAACAGCCTGAAGTCCTTCCTCCCCCACAGCAGGATTCAGTGCCTTCACAGCTCTCTGTGCCAGCCCTGCAGGGTCACGAGGTGCCTGCTCAGCTCCTGGAGAGCAGCACACTGACCTAAGTTGCCCAAAATAACTGTCAGGTAAATTTCTAAAAACTATTTTTGGTAAGGAACCCATACACAGACTGTTCTTTAACCCATTTATTTTCCAGCACCTCAGCTAAAATTTTTTAAAAGCATTCAAATATTCATTTCTCTTTCCCCAGGAGACCCTTGCTTTCAGCTGAAAACAAGTTAACTGAACACTGACTGCAGTTTGGAAACACCGCAGAATTCTATGCTGTATTTACGAATGGACAAAACAAGTACCTCTGTGTTAACTTCAAAACTAAATGTTTGTTTTGAGAGATCTCTCCACACAAAGAGCAAACTATTGACAAACAGTAAAAAAAAAAAAGGAACATTTTACAAAAAACAAAGGCCTTGACTGTTATGCTGCTCCATCCCCCCCACACAACCCTCAATGCTGCTCTTAGATCTGGCCTACAAGGGAAATGTTGCTCCAGTTCTAGCCAGCTATCAATACAAGTGCATCAGTGCAAACTCCAAATGTAGGGCACAAAGCTGCAATTTGCATCACTAGGAAGCTCACTTCAGTCTGAAGCAAGGAATAACAAGTCAACTTCACAAGGTCTGGGAAACTTGTCAGTAGTCTTTTTAATAAGCAACAGTGAAAAGATAAATAAATTATCTTGTAGGTAACAAAGAGTTCACATAAAAGAAGTATTTTTTTTTTTAACTTCTGTTTCTTTTTTAAATTTGAAAATTTGAACATATATAATACAGCAGTAATAATTCAAGGAAAAATACACATATAAAACATTGCATTTTGTATTCAGTGTAACAGATACATAAGTGAAAAATTAACCACCAGAACCACCACTACCCTCCAGAAAGCAAAGTATCAAATCAGGAGAGACAAATTTCCCCGAGCTTAGGAATTAAACACAGGTCAGTAATTAGATCAAATCCAAGATTATCTTAGCAAACATGCAAAAACACCAGAAAAGATGTCAAACCACCACACTCGCTACTATCACTTTATTTGGAGAAAAAGCACCGGACAGTTGCATGCAGAGCCAAACTAACAAACTCAGAACAGTCATCCTCCAATACTATCACTGTTTCAAATCATTAAATAAAAAACAACCCAAGTGCGTTCAGGTACGTGACCACGGCATTTCAGTTACACCGATCTTCCTTAGGTTTGCCTTTGTTCCCTGATTACGTTTGTTTGTTCATTATAACAGAATGAAATACCCTGTCGGATTTTAAAAGAAGCTACAGTGGAATGCGAACTGGCAGCGCAGCAAATCAACTCTGCACCCATCTGCCTACCTTCATAGGAAATGAGGGCTGAGGGAAACTGGGAGCTGTGTTACCAAGTACAGAAACCTAAAGCGTTACCTACAAGAGAACTGAATGCCCCACTCTGTATTAGGACCAAAGCAAAGGATTCTCTGTTGATGCTACAGGGTTTCACCTGGGAGTTCTCTAACTGTTGACTCCAAATGAACTGCAGTCCTAGAATGGCTGAATCCCAAATGCAGGAATTCCGAGAAGCCCACGATAACTCATTCCTGCAGCAGCACGTGCAGACTTCAGCTACATCTGTGCCAAACTGCTACATGAGACTGAAAGAGAAACCAGGAGATAAATCCTCATTTGAAGAGGTGTTCATCCAGAAGAGAGCACCGCTCTCTGTCTGCAGGCTTCTGGACTATCATTACCAGAAGGTACCAAAACTGCACGCTGTGCTGCCTCCATCTCCGGGCTTGCTGTCTGCTGGGGAAATTTGAACAGAAATGTTATGGTTTGTGCTTTCAGTGTCATCCAAATGGCCCGCGTGGAGGCAGCTGTGAGCAGATCTACAGATCTTTTTTTTTTAAAGTAGACAGCAAAATATTTTTAAAGCAACGTGTCTAAAAATTGTTTTGTTTTGTTCTTTTAATTATCAAAATACCCCCATAGTAAAGCTGAGGTGAGTGCAGTCACCCGCTCTGTCCCAAAGTCAACAGGGACTCAAGGGGCTTCTGGACCTTTAACAGAGCAGCTTCTCAATAAAGGAATAATTGAAAAAGCCTTTTCAAATGCAGTTTAAAGAAAAGTAAGGTAACCGTCCATATCTAAGGAAATATCAATCATACCTGCAAAACTAAAAAGGGAAAGGGATTTTGAGTGATATGTAATTATTTAACACTAATGCACATAACAAAACTGCATACAAAAGACCATTTCAATCTGTATTACTGAAAACTGTTTGGAATGTTTGGACTGTAGCCCCCAGTACCACACCTAAGCAGTCAACACGACTCCCAAAAGTTACAGCCTTTCAGAATGGGGATTAACAGTTAGAACTGTCTGTCTCTCTTATTTTCTCAACATTACTTTCTTTATGCAGCGACTTGCTTTTTTCTTCCTTTGTTTTGTTCTGATTCAGTGTGTCTGCAGTCATCTGATCTCCACTGGTGGACACAGGATCTAACACTACAACAGATTCTGTCTCTTTTTCACTAGTAGAAGCTTTTCTTGAAAATTCCATATGACTCGGTGATCTAAAGGAAAAGGACAGAGATATGAATAAGATAACAACACACGTATTTAAGAAAACCACAGAACAACATGTATGTTATTGCCAGTATTTGTGACCAGGACAGGCCTACCATGCTGATAAACAGATTTGCAGATTACAGCTGTTACACAGAGATAGCAGTACACAAAATGCACAGTCACACTACCCCTCCTGAATCGTTTATTACATAAATGAAGTCAGATACTTCAGCACAAAAATGAACTCCCAGAGCACAGAGTCTCACTTTCACGATAAACGTAAGAATTTGTTTTCTTTCTGATCACCTCTGAGCTGCATTTAGGATCCCCTTGTCCAACACAGCAGCTGGACCTAAAGAAAATGTTACCAGTTCCTGTCTTCTGTAGCCCAAAACGTGGCTGCTTCTCCACATCTGCATCCCAGGGCTTTCACTGTACTGCAATTGACTGCACACCAGAAGCTAAGGGCAACAAAACCAGATTTTCTACTGTGGCTCAGCACCAACAGGCTGGGAGGAAGTGCAAGTGAGATCTGAAAATTCACCCAATGGGTTTGTTGAAATGCAGAGCAGTGTTAGACCTGTGTTCCCTGCTTTAGAAATGGAATTACACCTGGACTGCTTGCAGTGCAGATTCTTGCAGACGAAAATCCCTCAGAGCAAGGAAAGGTCAGAGTCACCAGGATTACACACTGAGGCTGGCTTAAACACTAATGGCACTTGTGCACATTCAAAAGCTCTGTCCTATTGCTGAGAGCATGCAGGTAAATCCTTAGATTAGCTAGCATGCACCAGAATAGAACAAGGCCAACAGGAGGACAGCATGACCCGAATTCGTGGCAGGTGGGGATATTTCCTATGCCATCCTCAGGCTGCCCCAAGAGCTGCCTTGCTCTGCAGGCAGACAGCTCATGTGTAAGGGCTCCTTCACCAGCCCTCCAGAGCAGCTGGCTCTGATTCCTGTGGGTACGTAACCAGACATGCTCAGGGAGAGGTTCTTAGGGCTACACATCTACACCCAGCACATCTTCACACAGGGCCCTACTCCACAGGGTGAACACAGTATGGATGAACACATTGCTATAACCACCAAAACGGACAGAAAACCTTAGCAGAGGAAGGCCCTGTGTGCACTGCATCCATTTACTAGTCTAGAGCCACGTTTTTTATATTCATGCTTACTCATAAGGAATGGTCTTCTGTACTGCAACGGTAACACATTCTTTAAAGGAAAAAGTAGAACCTACTGGAGGCCAAAATCAGGAATTCATCTGGGGGATCCATCTGCTATGAATTGCCCTTCATTTTGATAGTCTTTGTCCTACAGAAAATGACAAAGAAGACAGGTCACCTGCTCCACAACCAGAGTGCTGGGCTGGCCATGGCTGGCTCCTGCCCAAGCAGCAGAGTCGGTGTGCAGGTTAAAGGCACAGAATCATAGAATCATAGAATCACAAGGTTGGAAACGACCTACAAGATCATCCAGTCCAACCGTCTCCTCATCACCATTGCCACCACCAGCACTAAACCACATCACGCAGCACGTCATCTAGATGCCTCTTGAACACTGCCAGGGACCTTCAGGAAGTTGTACAGTGCAGTGAGGTCTCCCCTGAGCCTCCTCTTCTCCAGACTGAACAATCCCAGCTCCCTCAGCCGCTCCTCATAAGGTTTGTGCTCCAGACCCCTCACCAGTTTCGCTGCCCTTCTCTGGACACGCTCCAGGACCTCAACATCTTTCCTGCAGTAAGGGGCCCAAAACTGAACACAGTACTCATAAAACAGATAAGTGTTCCCACAGGCTGCAGCTGTCACACTCACCATTTCAGAGAGCATTATCTCAGCTCTGGATGTACTGAATGAAATTCCACGTTGAAGCCTTAATTACAAGAGTTGTCTATAACATTAGAACTTTGGTGTAAGGTAATTAATTCAGAAATTGGTGCTAATAGATGCAGTTTCAGACTCACTTGATTGCTATCGGAAGCCAGTGATATCATAAGCAAAATAATTTTTATTTTATGCAAAAGTTGCCAATCATTCCAGGAAATACACGGTAAAGTATTAAAGCAAATTAAATTTTTTAAACCAGCGTAACCAGAAGAGGGTTATTTTTAAAAGTGCTACCTCTGAAAAGCTGATTGCCCAACACTATAAAAATGGTCAAAGCCATAAATGCCAAGTTCATTTCTATTTCACTTTGGAGGTAACTATCTTTCAAATCCCAACAGCTGGACTATTTAATACAATCTGGTGAATCAAAGTATAATTCTTCACTGGGCTCACAGTGGGGAGTCTGCATTAGTGTATGGCAGCATTCCAACAACTGATGCACGGCCAAACGCTCTGAAGTCTGTTTCATTTGTAACAAAAATGGATAAAACAGCAATCATATTTACCACCTTCAAAGGTCAGAAAAATGAAAGATGTCGATATAAAGTACTTTAATGGAGAAAACCAGTGATTAAACCAGAGTTCCAAGCATAAAAATAAGAATTACTATTCACACTGTGTTGTGCTAGCATCCCCTTCTTCAAATCCTTTACACTGCTGCAGCACCAGCCTGACAGTGCTGTTGTTAGAGCCGAGGTATTGTTGGAAATCATTAACCCTATTTATTAGGTATTTGTAGCTCCTGTTCAATAGTTGTCAAGAGCAGAATGCAGGCACAATAAAATTTCAGTGCAAGAATGAACATAATTTTGGTGCCTTCTTTCAAAGAACAGTTTTTGCTATTAGAAATAAAGCTTGGAAAAAGCAATTAGTACAGCTGTAGTTAGCCAGCTTTGGATGATGACAGATTTCAGCCAAGGTAGCTCTGCCTGGCCCTACGCAAAGCTCTTCCCTCCCTGAGATTGCTAATATCACTATCAGTATTCTTGCTGTTTGTCCAACTACGGCTGTAAGTCAGAAATGGAGCTCCTCGTTCTATTGTTCAGACATAACTGTTCATAGGTCTGCATACAGTTTTATGACTCGATACATAAAACCTGTACATCACATCCTGATTCAAAGGACAAACGCTTTTTAGATTAATGGTATGGGATACAAAGTTCCATGCAGCTTTAAGAAGGACTGCTTGCAATAGGAGATCAAAAGCAATAGAAGGGTTATAACCAAGGGATCATCAGTGAAGCAGAGCTGCTGGGCCTTTTGTAAATCATTTACAGTAAGAATACAAAAGGACAAACTAAGTATCAGACAGTCAACTGAGACTTGGATTTTCTTTGTTTCCTCCAGTTCAGATTATAACCTTACTATGATTCAACCTTCCTTGATGCTCTGTTCATGAAATTATTGAAGCATTTTTCTATCAGAAACCAGGATGTTATGTAAACATTGCAAAGAACTTTGGGAAGAAGTCTCATCCAATTTTCTGACAATATGTAAAAGCAAAAGGCTAAATGGACCATTCAACCAAATTAGCAGTCCTTGTCTCTCAGCAAGGTCCCTGCTCTGGAGCACTGAGACACCTGTAGCCCCTCTTCAAATAAAATTGCTCTTAAACTCCAAATCAAACTCAACCAGTGCTACTCCCTACTGCCCAAATGATGAGATTCAAAGCACTAAGCCAACCTGCCTTTTGCTCACCAACACTTAAATCCCCAATGAAG